AGCAAGAGCTTCTACACAAAACCAAAGTAAGCAGTCTACAGACCCCTTTGAAACAAAGACGTCTCATTTCAGAATTAGTGAATTTTAAAGAGCACAACCCATGGAGAAGTCAGGTATCATCAGCAAGCTGTGGCCCAAACAATTTGGAAGCAACAGGCCAGACAAGTGCTTACTGGAAAGAGATCTGTAGCTGCGGGATCAAACCCAGCCCTTCCTGTGGCTTCTGTAACTCTGCAAAGTCCCTCCTCTGCCCATCTCTGCCTAGCAGATGGTGAGCTGGAGACAAGAACTGTTGCTTGTACGTAAGGGCTCTCACTGTGCAGGCCTGACAAAAGTGGCAGCCGATCAGCACCTGCATTCTCCCCCCCCCAATTACAGGCATTAGCACCTCATGCTCAACCTTCCTTCTTTACCCCCACAAAAATTTCAGAAGCAACAGTTCTGCTGCTTGCAGGACAGTCTTCCCCAGCAGCAGAGAAACAGATGACACTGTGCACTGAAAAGCAATAAAGTCTGTTTTGGAACTAGGGGAAACCACGCCAATCTTTCCTGTCCAACGAAATTCCCATCAGCAGCTGAGGAGACACTTCTCAAAGGGAACTAAAAAGATGAGCTAGTGCAGAGAACAGCACTCACAACACGGAAACACAAGACCCGAAACACAGGTTTGCTCACGGCCGGCTGAAGCGTGGTGAACCTGCAAACAATGCCCGTGACAACAGCCATCTTCCACCGTCCTTCCACAGAGAGCCGAGAGATTTGCCGCATCTACTCCTTCTACTTCTGCCAATATCGAGACTCTCAATGATGTATGTTAATTTTAGTTTTGTAAGGAAAAAAAGTTCTGCTCCACAGTTTTTCTGCTTCAGTGAGAGAACCAGTGAAGGCGGATCCTCTCCATTGAGCCAAGGAGTGAGAAGGACAGACCCAACCTACTGGCTGTTGGCAAGTGTAGGAATAGGAAAGGTCTGATTCACCAAGACTTGGCAGATGCAAGCAAAGCAAGGTCTTCCCAAATGAAGCAGGATACTTCTTAAGAGACATAAACCTTGTTTCTGGAAGTCAGCTTCCTTCCCAGAGCTGCAGCAGCAGGACAGAGATCGCCAGTGCAGAAAATGACTGCTGATGGCTGCAGTTCTCCACCGAGGTCCTGCAGGTGAACGGCAACGCTTTCCTTCAAAAGCACAGCTAGCACCTGGTGTTCTTCCAGGGACGGACAGATAACAAGAGCAGCTAAAGACAACATAAAAGTGTCTGTACCAATTAAGCTCTCGACAGGCTGCCTTACACAGACCAGGAACGGTCGGCAGATACGCAGGTGCCGGAATCAAAAAGGCCTTCGAGCAAACGGCTTCAACTCCTTGTGTAAAGCCTGTGGAAAGACTCCATGTCCTGCAGTACTCTTGGTCTAGTATCTGTTCAAAGTTCAGGTCCTATTTGACTCCACATCCAAAACAAGCCCTTACGATACTTAATTAGCATAGATCCACTGATATATGAAAAATTATAAACTAGAGTTAAAGCAAAACCTAACCTCAACACTACAGGTATTAAAAAAACAGGACTTACATCATGATGGCAAAATTAAAGATTGACAGGGGCTCTACTGCCACATATTTTTGCCAGTGAAATCACACTCAGGGAATAAAAATGAAAATATTTCAGTATTGTTATAGCTACCATAAGCAACGAATGGCTGGAACCTGATAATTTGCTAACAAAATAGGCTTTCAATAAAATGATTAGTGATATAAAACACAGCATTCATGAATGGATTATCCACAACTACATGCTACAACAAGTTTGGCAACATCGAAGGCCCTTCAAGCAGGGCCAAAATAATAAACAAAGTGATCCTACTGTAGCCACAAGTGATACTAGAATACGGACCTGCTCAGAGCAGTTAAAAGGCTTTTAAAATAGGAATAAGCAAAGGGTTTGTTGTGTCTAAGGACAGGAAACACTGCACAATTAATTTTGCCATATTTCACAGTACAACTGAAAGAGTAAGTGAAAAAATGTATGACATTGTCTAAACAAATCTTCTAGCATTATTAATTCAAGTCTGTGCAACAGTATGCGACTAATGTTCACTGGCAAAATTAAATTGAACTACAAAAATTTTGAGATCTGATTATGGCAATTAGGAATCCTACATGCAACGCAGCCTGCCCGTTAACAGCCTACCCCTGCAGCATTTTTATATGAGAGTTTGTTATATTCTTCCTGAAAGCAAGAATTTTTGACCGTAGTTAGTATTTTTTCCCCCACGTTGAATAAATCATAATGTTCTTGAAAGCACTTTTCGTAATCAAGCCGGGCTTGAATCTTTAGAGATCCTTGTTCAAACATGAGTGGAGATAAACATTAACACCATCGGGCATTGACTAATCAGTTAATAGTAATTTCTACCTCAGAAATCCAAGGATGGAAATACACTGCTGGAAATACACTGGGTTTATGCCATCTCAGAGCATGACCAGGACATAGTGCCAGACCATCATGTCGGGGAGGAATGGAGTTTGTCACCTTTTTGAGCAGGATCTCTGGGTTTTCAGCTCCGCAGTGGACGGGGCTGACTCGATCTAACCCTTATCTAACGTGACATTGCCATTGTGATATAAATAGTGTCTTACTTGCCTGCTTCAGAGGAACAATGTTAGTCAAGAAAAGGTCAAATGGTTTTGCCGCAGGGGAAAAAAGCAAGAATCTTTTGTAATTTAATATTGCCCTTTTTTTTTTTTTTTTTTGGAGAGGGGCGACTCCAGGTGCTAGTCACACAGGAGGGAGAGGAATACAGAAGAAGACAAGGCATATTTATCTAGTCTGCAGTAGCACAAAGCAATAATATTTCAATCATTTCTTAAGGCCCAGGAGGAACTAGTATTCACCCAGCATCTCACTGATCTCATCTTTACTTGGAATGCTGCAAACTCTATAGACAACGTCTGCTCAAACTTCGACAATGCAGAAGTAAGTTATAGCTGCAGGCAAGGCTAGGCCAGATGGACTTGATACCCCTACTAGTGAATGTATATTTTTCTTATTCCACAATGCTTATTGCATCGATGCTTTCAATACGTAAAGCATTAATAAACATGACTTTTACAAGTAGTGAGCCAAATCGATGTATTTTTAGCCAAAGAGGAAAAATACCCAGTTTTAAGTCTTTGAATACATTACACAACGTGAGGTTACTGCTACTAACCCTCAGATAAGCACTATACAAATATCCCCGTGTATTTCTTAAGGATGCTTTCAAGCATTTCTGTTATCCTACAGAAAAGACCATAGCTCTGTTACAAAATTTGCATGCAAGACAGGCTGCTACATTCATACACAGTTGAACTAGAGAAATACATACAGCTGGGAAGCAAAATTTCTACAAATTACTACATGAAGGTGACCCAAAGCCCGATTTATTGCTAGCTTTTATTGCTTGCTTTTATTGCTTCCAGCGCACTGGTAATCTATGCACATGGCAATACTTCAGTACTAATGGAAATCAGTAAACAAGGTCACATGCGTGTCAAACAGTTGCTTTGCACATTCTAAAAATACTTGTAGGTCCTGTTTGCTAGAATGGCACCGACCTTTCCTCGTGTCATCTGCGCAGCCTGTGTCGCTCACTGGGTGTAGCCTGCACCTACAGCTGACGGTATGCAGGCTGGAATACATCCTACTCAGTGGAAATAAGGGTAATTGCTAAACTTGTTGTCAACCAAATTAGAAAGTAAAATAATTACAGCAAATTTCCCCTCGGGCCATCTTCTGCAGACTACAAAAAAACTTCTAAGATACTCCAAAGCAGCCCATCTTTCCTGGGAAATACCACACATTGAAAAATAATTGTTTATCATTAAATTAAGTTACAGCATGTAAGGTGAACGAGACAAACGGAGTATCTGACTCAACTGGAATCGTGTTTGGCCCAGACCCTGTGATAGACAGGCAGCTTGCAGGTTACTTATGCAAAACATGTTTATGCAGTGACTTTAAGCCTTCAGGCTAAACATAACGGACTGCAAAGGGCTAGAAAAGAGAAAACGCAGCAGGTCCCCTCCGCTAGCCATCCTTTTCGGTCTAAATAAGAAAATCTGAGATGCAGCAGCAAAGACAACAAAATATATGTAACAGCAGTAGTCTATACAAGCCGTACAAAGAGAATGAAAGGCTCCAGCTATTATTCCAGCATTAAAGTAAAGCATCTCCCCCAGTCGTGACTAGCAGAGGGAATTTGCTTTCCACGCTGCTTTGTGAAGGTGGAGTGAATCTCACCAGCTACCAAATGCAGCGTGACAACCTGAACCATGGACAGCACGAACCGACATCGTAAGGGTGCACAACGCACTTAAAGCAAAAAGTGCTTGCAGTGAAATATCATTGAAAGAAAATGCAGTGGAGGGAACAGTGGTTAGCATTCTGGCATTTTGAACTCAAACCAGAAATTTTCTGTCCTCACAAAAAAAAAAAAAAAATCAAATTTATGAGTAATAGATCTTTTTTTGGATTTCTGTAAAGTTCCTGAAAATTCTGAGCATGTGAACCGTAGTTAGGAAGACTGAAATTGAGGATCTGAAAGAGAAATGAAGACAAGCTCGATGTTTATATAATAAAACAAAACCCAGTGCCAAACTGGGTTTTTGTCAAACACTGTACATTCAGGATTTGCATTTTCCAACTGCCATCTGGAATTCTATTGTTTTACTTTACACATAATGGGGAAGTAAAGCAAAATCGCTTCTACCTTCATGTCCTCAGGCTTTTTTGTTCATTTGTTTGCTTTTAAACAAGGAAAATATACAGATAATGACTGGTTATGATTACCGAGAAATACCTAAAGAAAATGAGTTTTTCAAAATGCCCCATCCAAATCCATTAGCAATTAGAATCTCCTCAAGTTTCCATTAGTCTGTCAAAACAAGAAATAACCTTATAGCAGCTCTGACTAAAACTCTTAAAGATTGTCACATTGATTGAATTTCAAAGTATAGACTTACAAATTCGTAGTCTCCATCCTGTGGTACTTTCCAATCAGATGAATTTTTTGTCTGGCCAGACACATTCTTCCCAAAGCTATTGATTTGATTCTCCTTCTCCTTCTGCTCAAAATATTCAAGGAATGATGGTTTGGCTGGCTGCATCGTTTCATCCCTCCCTGGAAATATTAAAAAGACAAAAATAGTTGTTTTGAAAAATATATTTTCGGTTACACCGCTTTACATCATGCCCAAAAGTGATTTTATTTTTTTAGCACACACTAAATCACGTAGTACTGCTACAGTACTATTCTTCTCAGCAGCTTTTCAAACATAAAACTGACTGTACAGTGAGAAAACCGGAGAAGGGAAGCTCAAAGCCCACCACACAAGTGATTACAATGCTGGAGGCCTCGGCCTCTAGACCCGCGATCCGTCCCGCAAAGCACACTACCCCGTAACCGAGCTTCGTGCACCGAATGCCAGAACTAAAATGCTACCAAGTAGAGAGGCTGGGCTTTTCGCATCCCAGCCAGGTTGCCAGGCACTGCAAAACACGCAAAGTTCCAAAACTAAACAGCATTGTTTTACAAACAAAACCTCATCTTTATATTTATGAATGGAACAGTACAAAAGCGAGGCTTCCAAAGACCACCTTTACCACACAATTATCACAACTACTTCTACCCAAGGTAAGTTATAAGTTCTATGTTTCTTGGGTAGAAAGGATTAATTAGTTTGCAGGTCTTCCTTTTTTCTTTTTATAGTCAGTCAGTCAGTAAGTTTTCAAGTTTACTGCCCTAATTGGGTTTTTTTGGCAAGTTAATTCCTCTGAACACACTTTCTTAGTGGATTACTCAAACAAGGCAGAACTAGAGATTAACCATTCAATTCTAGATTGCACTTAAGAAACCTGGGGTAATAAGAAATGGGCGAGGGTACAAATAGAGACAAAGGAGTCAAAATAACCCCCTAAATATGAATACTTTGATTTTTAAGAGCAGGCCTCATAAGCCTCCCAAGCACCATTCTTAATAACAAAGAGTTCACCCATACTGATGGGAGAAGCAAGGATATAGCCAAGAGCACAAAACTTTAGCACAACTAGATTTACATTATTCTCATTTGTCTAAAATATTCTTTAGAACAAGCAAAAGTTAACAGAAAAAGAAGAATGCTGCTGACCCACTAAGACCAATGAGCTCGTAAAACTACATTAGCGTCGGGTGCCCACGTATGTTGGGTAGTTGCTGGGATTGGGGATATGAGCACCAATGCATCCCTTCTTCTTTTAGCCATCGCACCATCCGAATCCCTGCCTGTACGATTTAAGTATCATTACATACAAACAAATCTAGCAATCCATTCAGCAAGCAGGTTTCCATCCCTGAAGGAAGAAATGCAGGGTCAGAAGTTCCCAGAACGAAGCAGAGCCCCAGTGCTGCTTGGGGAGCGAGGAGGTGGGCTCCAGGAACGAAGGCAGCTTCAGCTGTGCGGTGAGGACAGTGCAACAGGGGAGGAACCAATGAAAAATGAGAGGATGAAAATACTGATTCCTAGCAGAGACGGCATAAAAACCAATGCAGGAATAAACCACAAAATTTAACTTCACGGCCAGTCAAGACCGAAAGACCTTCGCTATCTCCAAAGGAAGATGTCTTTATTAGTGCAACGGGTACCGCAGCCGATGCTGCCCAGGCTACTCTTGCTCAAAACTGGCTTGTCCTGTGAGTTAGTGCAGCTAATATCTCGTCAAGAGGCTCAACCTAAATGAAGAGGCAGGCTTGCACGGCAAACGCGCTTTAACAGGGCTGCACCACAACATCATGACAGCAGCAAAGGCAGCTAAAGACTACTCGCAGCTTAACGCCAGTGTGCTGCTCTTATTGATAAAATGCCTCCAAAAAACCTGCGAGCATAATGGAAGTAAGCACTGTAACAATACCTAGTAAAACGTTTTTCTTCTGGTAAAATATGGTTCATCATACTTGAAACATATGTTTTAGTCAATGCAGAAACCATCATTTTCAGAAAGTAGGATTAGGACTAGACTTAACGGAAAATGGCATCAGACTAGCCTAATTCTGGACTGTGGAAATAAGTTCACTGTCCAATGTTATACGTTTAAAATAAATATAATCTGCCAGGCAGGCAATCAACCAAAAGTTTAGAGCTTCAGACAAGCACACAGGGGATGGAGCCGTCCTTTGATGGGTTAGGGGGGGTCTGCGTAACGCAGGAGTTTGTATGAAGGCAGGCTAGCACAAGACAGTCCTCACTAAGGACATTCAGCAGCGCTTTCCTCTTGAAGAAATATTAGCTACTCTGGAAACCCATTAAGATTTAATCACAGTATATTATTCTTCCACATAAAATTGCCATCCAGTGATCCAGAACTTCCCTGGCAGACTCTGTCTGATCCTCAGACAAGTGTATGAATTCCTCGGTCGGCTATGAGATACTTTGTGAAGTTATTTGTCTATAGACGTGTTAAATACAGAACAAATTTCTGCAAAGTACGAGAAATCTTGGCAGGATATTTGGGTTGTGATACTGAGAGAAGGGTGGTTCTACACAGCCTGAAATGTCACGATGCATTTTGAAAAAGCACTGCACCGTTCTGCCTCTCCAGGGTCAGCTAAAAGCTCAAGCATGAACTGAAGTGCTTATACTTTTGCACTATGACAACTGGAGCAAAGACAAATTATTCTACCCCTGGCAGTAGTTCCCCTTTTTAAAAAAAAAAACAAACCAAAAACCTCATCGTACAGAATTAGATCAAGAAAGACACCTTCAGACAGGCTGCGTGAAGGTCAGTCGGGAAACACGTCTGCGAAGTGGAGAACAGATTTGCTGTTGGGAATAATTACTGAAATACAATAGCAATCCAATTACTGCTAAGTGATAAAACATTTATTTAGAATGAGGTAAATACACCCCTTGTATTCTGCTGCAGTCCAGCCTGTCTGAAGCAGGAGGCGAGCTGTTATGGCCAATCACGGCAATGTTTAACACCAACAAATTTTGCAGAAATAGAGGAATTTGTAACTACGTAGGCTAATCTACACACAGCTTACTGACAGCCAGCCTAGGCCGCTGTAATTTAGGCTTCCTAGGAAAAGAAAAAGAAAATCTAAATCAAGCATGTACTGTACATTTCGAAAACAATTGTCTGCAGCACAGGAGACTTTCAAAGGAAGTGTTTCACTCCAGTGACACTGGCTTATTCAGTTTGTTGTTGTTTGATTTGTTTGTTTGTTTTTTTTTTTATTAAAAACTGTTCACTCATACCAGAGCTTAATTCAGTGTCACTTGAAGTAATCATGCTCATTTCCCCACAACTTGTATTTTACCAAGAACTGCAATATTTGGAAACAACTAGTTACATCTAGTGAACAACCACAAGCCTTATTTAATAAAACTTCTGTTTTCATGCAGAAATGAAACCGACAAAGAAGGAAGCGCTTGAAGTGGTGGTGGTAGTTTATAATCCTGAAGAGTACAACTGGATTTTCAGCCCCACCAGTACAAGTGATGGAATAGCTGGGTGGCTGCAGGGAAAGGCTGCCGGGACACCGAAGGGCTCCCTGCCACACCGGGAGGGTGGGAGGGCAGGGGGGTTGTTCAGCCTGGGGTGGACAGGAAAGGCTCTAGCTGTGGTCTCCCACCCCAACAGGCCATCAGAGCCCCACTCTCCCCAGCAAAAGGATGAGAGGAACGGTCTGAAATGCAGCACGGGCAACACAGCTGAACGCAAGGAAGAAAGTTTTCACAACAGGGATGGTTGTGCAACAGTGCAGGGCTGGAGCAGCTGTGCAAGACCCTGAGCAACCGGATCTGACATTGCACTTGGTCCCAGCCATCACACAGGGAACCGGACTGATGACCTCCAGACGTCCCTGCCAAGCCGCTCTGAGGGCGGTGAGCCCCTGGGGCAGGTTGCCCCGAGAAGCTGTGGCTGCCCCATCCCTGGAGGTGTTCAAGGCCAGGTTGGACGGGGCTTGGAGCAACCTGGGCTGGTGGGAGGTGGCCCTGCCCAGGGCAGGGGGGTGGGACTAGATGATCTTCGAGGTCCCTTCCAACTCTAACCATTCTATGATTCTGCAGCTCACGCTCTTC